GCGGAAGACGCACCCCAGCAGCTCCGTCTGGGGCATGTGGTCCTCCCGTCGGGGAGTTGCTCCTCCTCCTCCTCCTCCTCCTCCTCCTCCTCCTCCTCCTGCTCCTCCTCCTCCTCCCCCTCCTCCTCCTCCTCGTCCTCGTCCTTGTCCTCGTCCTCGTCCTCCGCCTCGTCCTCCTCCTCCTCCTCCTCCTCCTCCTCCTCGTTCTCCTCCTCCTCCTCCTCCTCCTCCTCCTCCTCCTCCTCCTCCTCCTCCTCGTGCAGATACCCGAGGCGGGCGGGTGGGCGGCGGGGCAGAAAAACGCGCGAAGGCGCGGGCCACCGCGCTGGTCGCGAGTCCGCCTGCCGCGCGACGCCGCGGCCAAGGGGGGGGCGGCGCCGTGCTTCGCGCGCCTGCCCATCCACCTGCGTGGAGCACACGAAGGGGGGCGGGGGGAGCAGGAGGAGGAGGAGGAGGAGGAGGAGGAGGAGGAGGAGGAGGAGGAGGAGGAGGAGGAGGAGAAGAAGGAGGAGGAGCAGGAAGAGGTGGAGGAGGAGGAGGAGGAGGAGCAGCAGGAGGAGGAGGAGGAGGTTTTCTTGTTAGAAACAACAGACGAGCAAGCAGCCTGACGGGGCTTGAACGGCTGGATAAAACATTGCACGGGGGCCTGGGGTCGCTTCACCGCCACCGCAGGAGGCTTATCCCATCCCAGGCCCCCGACCGCCTCCACGGACACGAGCACCGCGTCCACGAGCGTCAGGAGCCCACACCCTTCTTCGCCGCGATCCTGGCGCGCGCCTCGGCCAGCATCCGTTCCCTATTCGCCACGAGGGCGTCGGAAGCAGCCTCCTCGCACGGCGCCTCGGTCACGGGTATCACCGCCGCGCCAGGCGTCGCCGCAGGCTCGAGGGACCACCTCCTCGAGCCACCCACAGGAAGACGACCAGCGGGAGGAGCAGCAGCGAGTACCGCTCCATCAGCACCACGAGCAGGCGCCGCGGCAGCAGGCGCTGTCGCACGTGCCTCCGCCACCCCCGCCCCCAGCACACTCGACGGTGCAGGCAATGGCGCGGGCCGCACCGCGCGGTAGGCCCAGCTGTCGTCATCGAGCTCCGCGCCGCCGCCGCCGTCGTCCATCGCAACGGTGGTGAGGTCGTCTACGGGCATGTCCTGCGCTCCATCAGCACGGCGTCCACGCCGAGCCCGACGCCGCCTCCGCCGTGGCGGCGCACCGCCAGGCGCCGCAGGCGCCGCGGGAGCAGCAGGCGGCTCCGCAGATCCTCCACCATCGCGTGGAGCTGCCGCCGCGGCGGGCTGTCAAGGCTTGCGCGCCTCCAGCTTCGCCACAGCAGCGCAGCACAGGCCCTCGGCCGTGCGCAGCAAGCGGCACGCCGCCGCTGCGCTCCGCCCGAGGCCCGAGGCCGCGTGGGACGCCAGCGCCGCGCCACGCGCGGCAGCCAGCGCATTCTGCAGCTCCCGCTGCCCAGGCGCCATGTGCTCCAGGAACCGCGGCGGGCCGCGCGGCCCAGCGACTAGCGGTTTGGGAATGCCACAATGGCTGAGAAGGAGGAGGAGGAGGAGGAGGAGGAGGAGGAGGAGGAGGAGGAGGAGAGGAGGGGGGGAGGGAGGATAGGAGGAGGACGAAGAGGAGGAATAAACACGGGCCCCAACAGAAAGAAACGGTCGGGAGCATGAGGCGAAACACACGCCCGCCCAAGGGCAATCGCGTCCAATAGAGACCCGCGCTCCTCGGGGGAGCTGCCCCCGTCCCCGCAGCACCTCGGCCTCTCGGGAATGCCTGAGTGCCTCGAAACCAGGCCAGCACCTCAACTTGCCTTGAAGACGGGCCGGAACCATAGGCCGCAACTGGATCCGCCTCCTGGCGAGGGGGGGAGGAGGAGGAGGAGGAGAAGGAGGAGGAGGAGGAGGAGGAGGAGGAGGAGGAGGAGGAGGAGGAGGAGGAGGAGGAGGAGGAGAAGGAGGAGGAGGAGGAGGAACGGAAAACGATAGGGCGAAGTGGGGCGAGCTTTTCTGGGATTCTAGCTTTTCCTCGCGCGCGGCTAGACACGGGCGCGAGGTCCACGCATAGAAGAAGGCGGCCACCGACGACGACGACTATGAAGACGCACGGCAACAGCGAAAACGACAAACGACAAGGCAACGACGACCACGACCACTGACGACCGAACGCAGCAATGCAGGCGGAGAAGCGAGGAAGCTCCGTCGAAGGTCCCCATGGCCGTGATCACATGTACCGCGTTTCGTGGCCCCATAGGGAGCTCCGCCGAAGGCCCCACTGGTTGTGAGCACATGCGTCCCGCGCTACTAAGTACGGCGCGTCATGGCCCCATAAGGAGCTCCACCGAAGGCCCCAGTGGCTGTGATCACATGCGTCCCGTGCCACCCAGTACGGCGCTACAGGGCCAATAGGGAGTTCCGCCGAAGGCCCCTGTGGCTGTGATCACATGCATCCCGCGCCACCCGGTACGGCGTTTCGTGGCCCATTGAAGAGCTCCGCCGGAGGCCCCACTGGTTGTGAGCACATGCGTCCCGCGCTACTAAGTACGGCGTGTCGTGGCCCCATATGGAGCTCCACTGAAGGCCCGAGTTGCTGTGATTACATGCGTCCCGCGCCACCCAGTATTGCTGTTCGTGGCCCCATAGGGAACTCCACCGAAGGCCCCACTGGCTGTGATCACATGCGTCTCCCCCCGCTCATTTTGGCACACCCCTCACGCGTTTCGTGGCCCCATACGGAGCTCCACCAAAGGCCCCAGCGGTGACGTTCGCATGCGTCCCCCGTCCATTTTGGCATACCCATCACGCGTTTCGTAGCTCCAAAGGGAGCTCCACCGAAGGCCCCAGTGGTGAAATTCGCATGGCGGCCACGCCCGATTTCGGCACACCCCTCACACGCTTGGTGGCCCCATTTGGAGCGCCACCGAAGGCCCCAATGGCTGCGCCCGCATGCGTCCCCGCCCCATGTCAGCACACCCTTTACACACTTTGTGGCCCCAGAAAGAGATCCACCGAAGGCGATACCTACAACGGTGATGCACTCATAACTGCATATGGTTGCGCGTTGGGCCCTTCGCCAGAATAATTGTCATTGGTTTTGGCCTCTCCAGGGATTCCTTGGAGCTCTCGTGGGCAGCCTTTGGGGTCTGTTGGACGTCTCGCAGGGCCCTCTTGGCCACTCTTGGGGGCCTCTAGGCCCGTCGGGGAACCGTCGTTGGCAGTTTTCAGACTAGGCTATCTCGGGGGCGTCCTGGGCCGTCTTGAAGTTCTCCCGGGGCTCTCCTGGAGGCCACGGAGGGGGGCCAGGGACTTGCAGTAGATGTTCCTGAGGTTGCTGGGGCCCTCGTGGGGACGGTATTTGATGTTCACACACATCTATCTATATAGAAATACACGCGCCAAACGAAACACCCCGCCCAGCCTACGGATACGTGTGGTGGTGCGTCGCGTGAACGCTACTACGAAAGAGCAGGGATGCAGGGAGGAGGTGGGAAGGAGGGACAAGCGAGGTAGGATGTAGGTGGGGGAGCAGGAAGGGCAGGAGAAGGAGGAGGAGGAGGAGAACGGGGCGCGAAGGGATCTTGGAGGGAGCGCCCGTAGCTAGAGGGGGGTGAAGGAGGAGGAGGAGGAAGGGACACGAGGAACGAGGCGGATGAGGAGGAGGAGGAGGAGGAGGAGGAGAAGGGGAAGGAGGAGGGGGATGATAAGGAGGGAGGAGTTCGGAGAAGGGGAAGCGAAGGAAGGCAAAGGGAGGAGGGGGCGCACGTCGCTGGAGGAGGACAAGAAGAATACAGGAGGACGGAACAGGAATAGGAACGATGATGATGATGATGATGATGATGATGATGATGATGATGATGATGATGATGATGATGATGATGATGATGATGATGACGATGATGATGCTGTTGATATTTTCAACCACCCACCTCATACCACGTTGGGCACCGTCAAAGGCTCCAGTTGAGACAGAGTCGAACCGATAGCGGCCTTCAATCATCGCGCGGCACTTTGGCCGAGCACTGCAGAGTGACACTCCGCTCAACTCCAACTCGCTGTGACCGACGCTCCACGGTTTACGGAGCGGCTCGCTCCTTGCTGGGACTACCGCGCTGACTGTATTCACAACCGGAGCAGCAACGGCAGAAGGAGAAACGCGAGGCACAGCAGAGCTAGGAAAAGCAGGGACGTCAAAAATACCACAAACGTCCGCAACGTCATCGGCACGAGCTCCCTTGTGGCGGAAACGCCACAGGAAGATCAGAAGCCCAAGCACCTCCACGAGAAGGAACAGCATCACTGACAGGATATGCATCTCCACGAGGATCGGCACTCTCCCAGTGACCAGCACAAATCTTTCCAAGGCAATGGGCGGCACCAGAACCTCCACGCTGATTGGGACAAGAACGAACGCCAGCATCGCCAGCACGAAATTCATCCCCACAGCGATGGTCTCCAGCACCAGCTCCAGCGCCATGGACGGCACCAGCACGAATGATACCATCCCTACGATGGCCGGCGCTAGCACGATGGCCAGCACCAGCACGAGGAACGTCACGAAAAACAGCTCCATCGCCAGCACCATCACGATGGCTGGCACCAGCAAAATGAGCGTCACTCCCACGATGGTGTCAGCTCCAACGCCTTCACGAACATTGGCGCAAGCACGGTCGCCTGCACTTCTAGGACGATCGGAACCAGCACGATCTAGAAGAAGAAAAAACGCCATAACCATAAACTTGTGGCGCTCCGTGCGGATTTCTTGGATCCGCGCTGGACCCCCCTCCCCGGCGAGCGGAGCGCGCCAAGTGCGGGGCCGGAGGCGCCGCTGGGAGGGCCCAGCGCGAATCCAAGAAATCCGCGCGGAGCGCCAAAAGTTTATGCTTATGGCGCTTTTTCTTCGACGACCAAGACCAGCAGGAACGGCCAGAACCTCAGCACGAGCCGAGGACGGCGAGGAAGTCTGGTTCAAGAAGGGTGATTTCGACGGCTGCTGGGGCGCCTCAGGTCGTGCTGGAGTGCCTAAGGTCGGGCTTGAGGGACCTCGACTCCAGCGAAACCAGCCTTGTCCAACGAACCCATCTAGCAGCCTCCGAACGAACACCTCCGAGATGTTCAGCTCCAACACCGCCGCATCGAGCGGCACGCGCCAGCACCCCTGTGAGGAGCGGCACCTGCACGGTGCTCGGCCTCAGCATCTCCACGATACAGAACAGCACTCCCAGCATGATCGGCACCTCCACGAGGGTCGGCACCTCCATGACGACAATTGCGGGCGCCTCCACAGTGGTCGGCACCAGCACTTCCAAGAAGATCAGCACCAACACCTCCGCCAAGATCGGCACGGGCATCTCCACGAGGATGGGAACCTCCCCGAGGATTGGGACCTCCAGAATGAACAGCACCGCGTCGGTCATCGGTAACTTTACAAGGATTAAGACACGCACCTTCCTGAGGATCGGCGCCTTTAGGACGATCAGCACGGATACCTCCATGAGGATCGGCACCTCCACTATGATCGGCCTCAACATGTTCACGATGAAGAATGGCACGCGCACCAAAAACGGCATCTCCGCGAGAAAAGCACCGGCGCCACCACGATGAACAGCACGGGCGCCCCCACGATGAGAAACACCTGCGCCGCCAAGATTATCGCACCAGCGCATCCACGGAGATGAGCACCATTAATCGGCCGCATCACGGGCCTGATGCGCGAATCGTCGTGCAAGTTCTGGTGGCCATGGCAGGTGGCGACGACATTTTCGGAGAGCATGTGCTGCAGCAGGGGAATGGCCAACCAGTTGCGAACACGCCCGTCAGCAAAGAGAAACAAGCAAACGGGAAGCATGATCCTGTCCGCGGAATTAGCTGTGCAACCTGACGATCGTACGACGTCCGCTTAGAAGCTGCAGGATTGCCCATTCCAGCTGTGCAGCGGTGACCCCGGGACGAAAGGAGAAAGCGAGCACGGCAGGGCACGCGCAAGCGAGCGAGTGGCCACACCTCGGGCAAGCGCCTGAGCCAAAGTGGCTATGGTGATGAAGACGATGCTGCTGCTGCTGATGCTGATGCTGATGCTGATGCTGATGCTGCTGATGATGATGATGATGCTGATGATGATGATGATGATGATGATGATGATGATGATGATGATGATGATGATGGCAATGATACTGATACTGATAATGATGACGCTGCTGCTGGTGATGATGGTGGTGGTGATGACGACGATGGCACGGTGATGTGGAAGAGGGAGCAGAAGTATGGAGGAGCAGGATGAGGATGAGGCAGCGGAGAGGGAGCAGGAGAGGGGCGCAGCAGATTAAGGGAGCGGCGGAGGAGACGGAGCTGTGTCACGTGCCGCCGCGCCGTTTGTTCTCGACGCGCCCAAGTGGACGACGCGGACACCACAGCAAACGCACGGCAAACCCTGCGTCCCGCACCCCAAGCAGGCGAAGCCAGCACCGCGGCAAACCCCACGGCAAACCCACCGCGTCCGAGGCGGAGTTCGCCGTGGTGGACGCGGCACCCTCCTCAGGACGCAAGGCCGCGTGTCGGAATACATGGCGCGGCGACATGTGGAGTATGGGCGAGAGTGGAGGCACGCGGTCCATCTCGTTGACCAGCAGCACGGCCGTCGAGAGGTTGCTCTCGGGCACCCGCCCCTTGGCGAACTCTATGTACTGACTGCCCGACATGTCGCCGCGGAAATAGTCGCGCCCGCCAATGAGGAGCATCGAGACGGCAGTCTCTGGCCTGCCCCCGCCCCCTTCGTGCGATCGGCCAGGACGCATTCGAGCAACCGGGAGGAAGGAGGAGGGGGAGGGGGCAGGAGGGGGGAGAAGGAGGGGCAAGGGGGGCGAACGCTTATGCGCCATCATGTGGCTGTCACCCACCCTCGTGCTTGCTTCGCTTTCGCTTAGCTCGGCGCCAGGCCCGAGTGGGACGCCCTTCTCGTCCTTCTCACTTCTTCACCACATGGTGTCGCACTAGGGGCTCTTACTGTCACCGAAAGAGTTTGTGGGGTTGCCGAAGTTTCGCCTGGTGGGGGGCCGTGGGTGCCTCGCTGGCGCCCTGTGCGCTGGGTAGGCTTGCACATGTTTCGCTCGGTGGGCGGCCGCAGGCGCATCCTGGGATGCCCGTGCGCTGGGCCGGGTTGCTGAGGTCTCGCTCAGAGGGTGGCCATACGCTTGTTGGGTGGCGCGTGAGCCGGCTGAGGTTGCCGAGGTTCCGCCTGTCGGTGCCACATGGATTGTCCTTGCGAAAGAATGATGGGATCCCCCCCCATCCCGAACAAAGACTGATCGATACCCCTCCGCATGCTTTGCTTTTACTCCTAAGATGCACGATCGCTCACAACAGCACGCCACATTCTAAGCCGATCGAGGCGACTAATTCTTATGCCCCAGCGCATTACTATGGGGCACAAGAACTGATACGGCTGCTGATGTTCCCACCCCCCATCACCTCCCTTCCCGTCGCAGCTGGACTTGATGCAGCAGAGCTTTCGGTCCCAGCCCAGGCTACGACGACGAGGGTCCGAAAGATCCCCCATGAGGACACAAGATGGCCCTTCAAACAGACCCCCACAGTATCATACCGGAGGCTCCTGCTACGATACTGTTGAGACCTTCTTGGGACCCTCTTGGAGCCCTCTCGGGACACTCTTGGGGACCTCTTCGAAATCTCCTGGAGCCCTCTGCAGTCTCGGTCCCAGGAGGTCCTAAGGAATCCCAAGGCACACCAAGAGGATCCGCAAGAGCTCCGAGAAGGCCCTGCAGCAGACCCCAACACGATCATACTAGGGGTCCTTTGGGGCCCGCTTGTGGGTTTCTGTGCTTTGTGGGACTCTTTCGACGGCACTTCTTACCAGCTCGTGGGATGTGTCCGCGGCCTCGGGGTATGATGTACCGGACCAGGCAGACAAGCCCAGACCAAACTGAGCCGATCAACCTCATTATCAAAGGTGCAATGCAACAACGCATGTTCTGCTGTGAAAGGGCCGCAAGCAAACAGTCTAGACAGACCAGACCTGCTATGTACATTACTCGGCCTAAATAGACTAGCCGATTAGCCAGACCACCCAGTCAGACCAGCCAGGTAGACCAACCAGACCACCCAGACCAGCTAGCTGTTCAGACTATCGAAGCCCAGCCCAGCCGAGACCAAGCAGACAGCCCAGACCAGACTAAGCAGATCGACCTGACCGGACCAGGTAGACTAGCCAAACCAGCCAGTCAGACCAGCCGGACTAGCCAGCCAAACCAGCCAAACTAGCCAGACCAGCCAGCCAGCTCTGTCAGCACTACTACAGCGCAAAGAAAACAGCAATGCAGAAAAAACTGCAATGACCGTTTTCTTATTCGGAGCTTCGACGTTGGGCGGAAGAGGGGGCCGGAAGGGGGTCCTGGCTCCGGACCTGTGCTTAGTGCGACTGTTTGGAACCGTGCGTCCTATGGGGGGACTCCGCCTGCTTGAAACAGGCGCCAAAAACAGCCAAAATCTACTCCATGGCTGGGGGGAGAGGGGGGGTGCGAGGGCCCGCGCCGATCGGCAAAACAATGAATAAGAAAACGACGACATGCACAACCAAACTGTTTTCGTGCTGTCGTCGCCGACATGTGCGCTTCAACCCTCCCTGAATCTCCCCCAAGCTACGCTTGGCCCCCACGCAGGGTCCTAAGCTGATGCGCTAGCAGCGCCTAGCGCAATATATATATATATATATATATATGCGCAATGCAAAACAATCTGCAATGCAAGCAAAAAGTGCAATGCGTAAACACAATGTGAATGTGCTGACATGGGCGCTTCACCCCCCCCCCCTGAACCTCCCCAACCCACGCTTGGCTCGCACGGGGAACTCTAACTCTCGACCAGCGCCACAACAGCGCAAACAGTAACTGCAATGCAGAAACAACTGCAGTGCAACAACAAGTTTTTTCGTGTCGCCGTCCCCGACATGTGCGCTTCACCCCTCCCTGAACCTCCCCAAACCACGCTTGGCTCCCACGCGGAATCCTGAGCTCAAGCTCTGGCAGCACCACTACAGCGCAACAAAGGCTGCAATGCAGAACAAATTGCAATGCAGCGACAAGCTGCAATGCAAACAACAACCGCAAGGCGCAAAGCAATTTGCATGTGTTCACCGCCGACATGTGCACTTCGACCCTCCCTGAACCTCCCCTAAACACACTTGGTTCGCATGGGGATTCCTAAAGGTCTCTAGCAGCGCCACCACAGCTCAACAAATATCTGCAGTACAACAAGAATGGCTGTGCAACAAAATATGTGATGTGCAAAAACAATGCTCGTGCCGTCCATGTGCGCTTCAACCCTCCCTGAACCTCCTCAACCACGCTGGGCTCGCACGCGGAATCCTAAGCGGATGCGCTATCAGCTGACTCAAAGTGCAATCCACAAAACACGATCTGCATGCGCTTGCCGTCGACATAGGAACCCGCCCTGAACCTCTCCAAACCACACTTGGCTCGCATGGGGAACCCTAAACTCTCGAGCAGCGCCACAACAGCGCAACATCAACTGCAATGCAGAAACAACTGCAGTGCAAAAACAAGTATTTTCGTGTCGTCGTCGCTTACGTGTGCGCTTCACCTCTTCCCAAACCTCCCCAAACCACGCTTGGCTCCCACGCAGAATCCTAAGCTCAAGCTCGGGCAGCGCAACTTCAGCGCAACAGAAGCGGCAATGCAGAAACAATGGCAATGCAGAAGCACCTGCAATGCAACACAACAGTGTTCGTGTCGTCGTCACCGACATGTGCGCCTCAACCCTGCCTGAACCACCCCAAACCACACTTGGCTCCCGCGCGGAATCCTAAGCTCAAGCTCGGGCAGCTAGGGTGAAGCGTAAGTCTAAAATTTAAGCCACCTCTTTATAAGTTTGACATCCCGTCGTGTGCTACAATGGCTATGGATTTGACCGTCCCCGCCAGGTCGGTATCGATCACCCCCCCGTCACCCCTGACAAATAAGTCAATGTGCGCGCACGCGTGTACCTCAAACAACAATGTTGAAATGACCCATTGCACACTTCCCCGTCAACCACATCACCTCCGTCGGGTCGCCCCCGTTACCGTCTTCATCACCTCCGTCGGGTCGTCCTCATCGGGCTCCTCATCTTCTTCAGTGGACCTCTTAGAACCATGGGAAGATTTCATTGTTCGTGCGACGCATTATGCGGAACAGAAGCTTTCTGATTTGGGGCTGCGGGATTGGGCGGCTGAGGATCGCAAAGCCGCCGTATCATGGTCAAAACGCATGGACACGGAAAACAGATCTTGGGCAAAAGTGGCGAGCAATTTGGAACCATTCGATTCTACTAGAAGGCCGGAAGGTCCGCGGAAAACATGGGCGGATTCTGTAAAGGCTCATTACCAGGACAACGAGGACTGAATTTTCCGCCTGCCGGCGCCGAAGCGCCATCGCGCCGTCCATTCTTGGACCGGCCTCTGGGCCGCTGTGGCATGTGTGTGTGCCCCAGTTACCGTCATCGTCAATCGCCGCCATTGCCGCCATCACATGAACATGAACCAATCGAGACCGACACATGGACATCATAATCGTCATCGTCGTCACCACCAATCGATACTACCCTAATCGTTGCCGCCGTTGTCGACGTCATGATGATATCGCGCCCGCCAGGCTAATCGACCCGCGCTGAAATTCCCGCGTGCCAGCGCGGCCGTCGGGACGTGCTGGGAAGCCTCCATCGGTAAACGCCATCGTGGCCGCATCATCTGTCCCACCAGCTGGTCGCTCTGCGCGCGAACTCGCGGGCGCCAGCGCGGCCGTAGAGATTCGCCAACAAGTGCCAATCAGCATCCGCAGTCGTAGTCAAATAAGCTTTGCCCAACAAATTGCGCGTAGGAGAACTATTAAACTGTACCACGCTCCCGGACCAGGGGCAAGCCAAACCGGCATCGCCCCCGCCCTCCTTTGTCCTGAAAGATGATACCATGCGCCCGCATGTGTATAGTAAAGAACACCTTTACAAAAACCCCTTGCAACAAAAAATATGCACACTAAGTCCATGCGCGCGCACATGTCGAAACCACGCCATAGACATTAGTACCGCAGGCATTTCAGCATTAAAACATTGAACACGTATGTGAAGTTGCAAAAACATGTTGCAGATTTTCCGCCCGCACGTACTTGCTGAAATCATGCGGAAACCACGCGAGTGACGTGCCCAGCATGGCGCCAGAGGTACCTGGCCCTCCCCGCACTCGTGCGCGCCGTTCTGGGCCCGGACATAAAGATGCTTTTGCTCTCAGAGATTCTGGAGGCATCGCGTAGCCCAGACACTCGGCTACCCCAGTGCCTGCAGGAAGGCTTCCAGCTCGTGGGAGACATCCAGCCGAACGGCACGCTGTCGTCAAGCGTGTCCCCCGGGGCCCCTGCCCCTCTCGGAATGGTGGGCTGCGGCTCCGGGGAACAGCGCGCCCATGATCCAGCGGGCCACTTCGTCATTTCGAACCGACGACGAGGTGGCCCGTGCTTCGGGCGCCCAGACAGCGGCGGAAGTTTCGTCGGGCAAGGCGGAGTGGACGCCGCTGCCGCCGACGCATTTGGACGCGGTGTTGGCTCCGCATTGTGGCGTGGACCAAGGCTGGAAAGAGAAAGGAGACGCGCTGGTGCGGAAAATCCGGCCAATGGGCGATTTCCACGCCTCCCGGGTGGATGAAGCCACGCGGGTATCGGAGTGCATGTGTCACAACACTTTGAACGTGCTCGTGGCAATCGAGCAGGCCATCTGGGCAGAGACACCTGGTGAGTCCACCCAATTCCGCCTCCGGAAAGAGGACGTGGTGGGGGCATACAAGACGTTGCCCATTCGTTCTCAGGACTTGCCGTGCGCCATCTCAGTCACGCAGGAGTCGGCGCAGTAGGGTGCAGACTACAGCTCTTCTCGCGTCGCTTTGGGGCGCTTTCAGGCGTGCGTTCGTGGCGCCGCGTCGGCGCAGCCTTCCAGCGCATCCTGCGGGAGTTGTTCTGGATGTTATTCCCTACCTAGGCTCTGCCTAGAAGGGTTCTTACTCTCTAGCTTAAAGGGGCCAGGCAGTGGAAAGCGCCCTGGGCGGTTCCCCCAGTCCCCTGGGAGCGGTTCCCCCAGTCCCCTGGGAGCTTTCGCTTTCGCTTTAGCTTTAGCTTTAGCTTTAGCTCAGCTTTAGCTTTAGCTTTAGCTTAGCTTTAGCTTTCGCTTTCGATTTAGCTTTAGCTTTAGCTTTAGCTGTAGCTTAGCTGTAGCTTAGCTGTAGCTTAGCTTTAGCTTAGCTTTAGCTTAGCTTCAGCTTAGATTTAGATTAGCTTTAGCTTAGCTTCAGCTTAGCTTTAGCTTAGCTGTAGCTTAGATTTAGCTTAGCTTTAGCTTAGCGTTAGCTTAGCTTTAGCTTAGCTTTAGCTTAGCTTTAGCTTAGCTGTAGTTTAGCTTCAACTTAGCTGTAGCTTAGAGTTAGCTTAGCTTTAGCTTAGCTTGAGCTTAAACTTAGCTTAGCGTTAGCTTAGCTTCAGCTTAGCGTTAGCTTAGCTTTAGCTTTGTCTTAGCTTTAGCTTAGTTTTGCCTTAGCTTTAGCTTAGCTTTGGCTTCGCTTTAGCTCTGATTTAGCTTAGCGTTCGTTTAGCGTTAGCTTAGCTTTAGCTTAGCTTTAGCTTAGCTTTAGTTTAGCTTTAGCTTAGCTTTCGTTTAGCTTTAGCTTAGCTTTAGCTTAGCCTTAGCTTAGCCTTACTGTTACTACTAATGCTGCTTTCCTAGGGGTTCCAACCCCTAGGTAGGGTCGCACTGGGATAATATCAGCGTTTCGTCGACGATTTTTTTCGGCGCTGACCGGGCGACGTCGCAGGACGCGTGTTTCACAGGCCCCACATGCGCGGCATTTCTCGCGCGCGAAGACGTGCAGGAATTGCTCGGATGGGAACTTGACGACGCCAAAGCAGTCGCAAATGCTCAAGTGGCGACCATCCTTGGCATTTCGGTCACAATGGACGACCTCCGCAAGCAGTTTGCTTTCGAAGTGCCAGTACGTTTGAACTGGATTGCTGAGGTCGAATCGATTTTGACATCGAACTAGCTTTCTCCGGCTGCCGCGCGCAAGCTGGCAGGCAAATTTAGCTTCGGGGCAACGGTGATTTTCGGCAGGAGCGCCAGAGTTTATCTGGCCACTTGTTTTGATCATGCCACACGTCGGTTTTCCGCTCTGCCCCTGCGCCTCCGGCGCGCGCTCGAATGGTGGCTTCGGTTTCTACGCTAGCAGCCGCGCCGTGCGATCCCGTTCGCGCCTGCAGAATGCACCAGACTGGTCATGCATACAGATGCGACCAGGCGCGGGTCTCTCCCATGGGTTCTGACTTGTGGCGGCCGCAAGCAGCTCGCCAAGATTCGGGTCCAACGATGGCCCCGAAACGCGGTCAAGCCACGCCGGCAACAAATCGGCACTTGGGAGCTACTCGCTGCAATGTCTGGTCTTCGGCACGCATTCAACTTTCGTGCGACACAATTGGGGATCCTGTTGTTCGTGGATTCCAGCCCGGCTTTAGGCGCGCTGCTTCGAGGGACCCCCCAGCAAGTCGACTGGAATTGTCTGGTGACCTCGATGTGGTTCGCAGCAACAGACAGGGGCGACGTCTGTGCCTATTCCGGGCACCGTCTGCTCAGAACTTGGCGGATGCCCCGTCGCGCGCGCACGAGGACCCAGCACAAATCCATTGTCTATTCGCGCGAGGGTTCGAAGAAGTCGAAAGGGTTTGGCCAGAGCGGAGCATCCGGCAGAAGCTCTCGTGAGAGCGGTGCGTCTTAGCAGAAAACGAAACATGTAGCGTTCGTGAAAAAACGCGCTATCGTCGCATCGCCGGCCGCTGCCGCCATCGTCCGCTCTTCCGTGGCCGCCGGCTCAAATGAGTGGCCACCGTCGCAAGGCAGCTATCATTCTCAGTTCATCGACGCCCCGCGAGCCAGGCGCGGCGGTGCCCGGTGCGCGTTGGGATGCCTGCAGAGCTCCGCGAGACAATCGAAGCATAGATTCCAGCTGGTCGTCCTGGCTGGTTCCATAGTGCACTGGCGCGTTCGCTGCCATCCTGCCATCCAGACCGTCCAGATCGTTTTCTTCGAGAGCTGGCAGACGGCGGGGCGGTGCACGGCAGCGACCTGCAAGGTCTTAGTCTGGATGAGTTGTGGGAGGCATGGCCAGCTTTGAGAATCCTGTCGGACGCTTGCCTCCGCGCAGTGGCTCGGACGCCAGGCGCGCGCGGCGAGGCGGCGGCCGACTGCGCCGCCAAGAGGCCCGGCCCAGTTCTGCAAGCAGGCGGGGGGAGATTTTGTGCTCCTGGTCTGCTGCGTCCAGCGCCGACTGCGCGGCCGCGGCGGTGGAGGCTTTGGCGCAGGCCAGGGCTCGCGAGGCTGCGCCGCCCGCTGTAGCGCTGGCCGAGGCCATCGCGGCCGCGTGCAAGGCGCCTGCCGCAGCGGCCATGGCATCGAGGCCGAACTCGGCGCTGCCGTCAGCGCGGGCACAGCGGCTGGCCGGCGCCCAGGAGTCAACGCGGACATCTCTGCTGCACGGCCGTCTGCTGCTACAAGAGATGAAGACTTGTAAGAAGAGCGGCAGGACGCGACGGCAGTGCGACGGCGGGGCAAACTCGCCGAGGCGACTGGCGCCCCGGAGTGGCCGCCAGACGAGGCTGCGTTGTCGGCGTTGGTGTTCGCCGTTCCTCGCGCTTCCACTCCTTCACGATACTGTTCGCACTTGCGGTCCGCATTGCGTCTGCTCCAGGCGCCCCTGGGCGCGCTTACTGATACCAGCTCGGTCGTACAGGGGGCGATGAGCAAATCTACTTCTGCGACCCGGTTCAAGGCCAGCGCGACAGCCAAACAGGTCCGTGATCTCGCGGCGCACGCGGCCGAGACGCTGGGGGGCGCAGAACTTGCGGACAGATGGGTGGCAGCAAGGCACTTCGCTCTGCGGCATGGATGCGAGGTTCTGGAAGTGGGAAGCGGCGCAAGGCATTCGGCATGTAGCAGCACCGTGCGCGAAGGAGTTCTTGGGGCAACCATCGTGTTCAACAGAGGGAAGGTGCAGACCAAGCCGGTGCACGTCGTGCGAAAGTGCGTCTGCAGAACTATGGCCTCGGATCTGCGTGGCGTCTGCATCCTGCGTCGTCGGTGGCGGCAGGGCAAAGTGATTCCGTCGTTGCAGTGCGACCGGGCGCTTGTCGCGCTGAAAACGGCTGCCCTTGCCATCGGCTTGCCTCGAGGCGCCGAGTGGGGGACGCTTTGCTTCCGCCGAGGGTGGGCCAACGACGCGCTGCGCCACGGGGGAGTGCCAGCGCTGTTCTGCTCCGGCAGCTGGCGCGGCTTGGCCGTTTCCGGCTACGCGTCCGCCCAAGCGCATTGCGAAATGTTTGCTGCGCAGTGGGCGGCAGAGTTTTCCGAATCGTCCGACGGCGATTCCGGCGCCGACTCATGACAAACAAAAAAAATATCCAGTCGCGAGTGTCAATATGCAAGGGGCCACCGCCGCCCCCCGCGCGTGGCTCGGGACACGAGTCGCCTGCGTTGGGGGTGCTTTTTGGGAGCGGGCGCGTGGAGCCCTCACCTTTGGGGCGTCGCGCAAGGGGGCTCTTTCGCCCGCGGCATCGGCAGCGTCTTGACTGCTGTCCCAATGTCGGTGCGCCCACTCCACCAGAGGCGAAGGCAATAGATTTTCATACCCCCTAAATCGGAGACTTCGAAAGGAAGGACAATCTGCAACTGAGACGGGGTTCTTCGATTCATGTACCTTCTGGTTCATGGGCTTCATGGGTTTCCGTGTGCCAAGAACCCCATGTCTTGGGTAGCTCCCACGGGAGCGGCGGATTTCTCTGCAGGACAACGTCTCGCCCGCTTGGCGCGGAGGCTTCAACTTCCGCCTGGCGCGGAGGAGGGGTAGCAAATATCCAGCTCGAAGTGGCCCTGAGGGACCCGTTCTGCAATGGCTTCCTCCCGGCGCGGGGGCACGGTTTCAGGTTTCCCTCCCAGGTTGGAGCCCTGCTCTGGCCTCGCGGTCTGGGCCAGGACAGGCAAGGCATTTAAAGCCCGCCCGCCCATCCCTGCGTCGTCTGATTTGATTTCGGTCGCCATGGTGGCGTCTGGATCCTCCTGGGGAGTATGGAGTCGGTGCGGTGGCGTCGTGCAAGGGGCTCTTTCGCCCGCCGCACCGGCAGCGTCTTGACTGCTGTCCCAACGTCGGCGCGCCCACTCCACCAGAGGCGAAGGCAATAGATTACCGCCCGTACGTACTTGCTGAAATCATATGGGAAACGTGCGAGTTTAGCAATCTCGTCCAGGATCCGCATTGTCATCTTACCACGTGGTGCATCCGCGTTCGTCCAGCATGCGCCCAATGCGCAGATCCGTATGACATGACCGTATGCGGGTCACATGCGCGGGCCGCCACGCGCGCGTGCCGAAATCCTTCCAACACCATTGGGTTTCGAAACGTTTCAAGGTAGAGCCATTCAAGCACAGATGAAAGCCCACGTGTAAACAGCAAGCAATTGTTCAGCACCAGGCTTGCCATCATTATAAAACTTCTGCGCGCGCACTCCCTCATCCCCCTCACGAGCGCCATCGCATCACCGCCGTTATCGTCATCGTCAATCGCCGCCATTGTCGCCATCACTACCACAATCATCTTCATCACCGACAAATGGACATCAGCATCGTCATCGTCGTCACCAGCACCAGCGTCGTCATTGGCATTGCTGCCACAAGCGTCAACACCGCCGCCAGCATCGCTATTATCCTAATCGTTGCCGCCGTTGCCCACGTCATCATATGTCGTGCCCACCAGGCTAATCGACCCGCACTGAAATACCTTCATGTCAGTGCGGCCTTTGGAGCGTGCTGGGAGGTTCCCATCGGTAAGCGCCATCGCGGCCGCATCATTTGTTCAACCAGCTGGTCGCTCTGCGCGCGAGCTCGCGCGCGGCAGCGCGGCCATAGTGACGCGCCGACAAGTTCGAATTGGAAACCGCAATCTTGGCCGAATGGGTTTTGCCGAATGGGCTGCGGCTGGGAGGGTGCACTTGACAACATCAAGACGATCGAAGTCAATAGCACCCCACAGAGCGCACCATCTAGATTGCATCGTGCACTGCACAAATTGCGACCATGGGTCGCACCACATAGATTGGCCCACATGCCCCGCATCACGTAGACCGCACCGCATAAAGCCCCTGCGCAATGTACGCTTCAAACTGCCTGAGGCCCATGCTGGCAACCATCGCTTGGTTACCCCAGCTCCGATCTCAAATATCGCCGCGTCTGCTGGCCCTTCTCGTGAGACGTGGTCGTCACCCCTGAGACGGGGGGCCTCCTGGCCTTCGTAGTGCTGAACTTGTCCATCGTTGCCTGAGGCTTCGCTTCCCCTGTGCCACCTCTTCGGCTGGGGTTCCATCGTTTCCACTGCCTGTCGGTTTACAACGGACATCTGTTGGCATGGCCTCCTCCTCCTCCTCCTCCCTCCTCCTCCTTCTCCCCCTTCTCCTCATCATCCTCTTCCTCTTCCTCAACCTTATCCTCATCATCAACCTTCTGCGCGCGCGCAAGGGGGGGGGGGGCAGGACGGTGCGCGCGGAAACGCGCGCGGAAGGGGAGGAAGAGGAGGCGGAGGAGAAGCATGGAGAAACATACAAATCTCCCTCCCCTGGCCAGAAAGTCGGCTTGCCGCCGGCCATCACGCAACCACCGTTCATCACGAAGCACGGCGGCACCTCGGGGCCACACTGGCGCCAGAACTCGGGCAGGACCACCTGTGACCAGAGGGGAAGGCGCAGGCGCAGGGGAAAACTACGACTGCTACTGCTACCACCACTGCTCCTCCTCCTCCTCCTCCTCCTCCTACTACTACTACTACTACTACTACTACTGCTGCTGCTACTACTACTACTGCTGCTGCTACTACTACTACGACTACTACCACTACCACTACTACTACTGCTGCTACTACAACTACTACTACCACTACTACTACTACGACTACTACTACTACTACTACGACTACTACTACTACTACTACTACTACTACTACTACTACTACTACCACTAACAACTACTACTACTACTACTACTACTACTACTACTACTACTACTACTACTACACTACTACTACTACTAACTACCTACTACTACTACTACTACTACTACTTAACTACTACAACTACTACTACTACTACACGACTACTACTACTATACACTAGCTGCTTGCTGCGGCTGCTACTACGGCTACTTGCTACCTGCTACTGCTACTACTACTACTACTACTACTACCACTACTACTACTACTACTACCACTACTACTACTACTACTACTACTACTACTACTACTACTACTACTACTACCACGACCGCCACCACCACCACCGCCACTAATACTAGTACTACTACAACGACGACGGCGGCGACTATTACTACGACTCCAAGTCCTACTTCTACTCCTACTCCTGCTCCTACTCCTGCTCGTCCTCCTGTTCCGACGACGTCGAATCCGATAACGACGACTACTGCTACTGTCGCTGCTGCTGCTACTACTACTACTACTACTTCTACTATTACTGCTACTGCCACTAGTGCCACTGCCAGTGCCACTACTACTACTACCACTACTACTACTACTACTACTACTACTACTACTACTACTACTACTACTACTACGATTGGTACTTCTAGTGTTACGTACTAGTACTCCTACTGCTACTACTACTGCAAATACGACTGCTACTACTACTACTACTACTACTACTACTACTACGACTACTTCTACTACTACTACTACTACTACTACTACTACTACGACTACTACTACTACTACTACTACTACTACTACTACTCCGACCACGACTACTACCCCGAAAACTAAGACAACAACTACTACTACTACTACTACTACTATTGCTGCGACTGCAACTGATACCACTAATACGACAACGGCTACACACACATACTAGTGATACCACGGCGACTACTACTATGACTACTGCTACTACTACTCCTACTACTACTACTACTACTACTACTACTACTAGTACGACTACTACTACTACTACTACTACTACTACTACTACTACTACTACTACTACTACTACTACTACGACCACTACGACCACCACGACTACTACTACTATACTTACTACTACTACTACTACTACTACTTACTACACTACTACTACTACTTGCAACTGACTGCTGCTACTACTACTGCTGCTGCTGCTACTACTACTACTACTACTACTACTACTACTTTACTACTACTACGACTACTACTACCACCAGTACTACTACCACTACTACTACTACTACTACTACTACTACTACTACTACTACTACTACTACTACTACTACTACTACTACTACTACTACTACTACACTAATACTACTACTACTACTACTACTACTACTACTACTACTACTACTACTACTACTACTACTACTACTACTACTACTACTACTACTACTACCACGACCGCCACCACCACCACCGCCACTAGTACTAGTACTACTACAACGACGACGGCGGCGACTATTACTACGACTCCAAGTCCTACTTCTACTCCTACTCCTGCTCCTACTCCTGCTCGTCCTCCTGTTCCGACGACGTCGAATACGATAACGACGACTACTGCTACTGTCGCTGCTGCTGCTACTACTACTACTACTACTACTACTACTACTACTACGTCTACTATTACTGCTACTGCCACTAGTGCCACTGCCAGTGCCACTACTACTACTACCACTACTACTACTACTACTACTACTACTACTACTACTACTACTACGATTGATACTTCTAGTGCTACGTACTAGTACTCCTACTGCTACTACTACTGCAAGTACGACTGCTACTACTACTACTACTACTACTACTACTCCAACGACTACTTTCTACTACTACTTACTACTACTACTACTACTACGACTAATACTTACTACTTACTATACTTACTACTACCGCTACTTACTACTATGTACACTACTTACTACGACTACTACTAATACTCCGACCAGAACTACATAACCCCGAAGTTACTAAGACAACAACTCTACTACTACTAACTACTACTATTTGCTGCGACTGCAATGAACCACTAATACGACAACGGATACACACATTTACTAGTGCTCACCACGGGACGACTACTACGACTACTGTCTACTACTACTCTACTATATACTAGTGCTACTTACTACTACTACTACTACTACTTACTACTTACTACTACGACTACTACTAGACGACTTACTACTACTACTACTACTAATTTTAACTACTTACTAGTACTACTACTACTACTTCTTTTTTTGTTTTACCTGAAGACACCATACGGACAACCATACGACCACTACGACCACCACTACTACTACTACTACTACTACTACTACTACTACTACTACTACTACTACCACTACTACTACTACTGCAACGGCTGCTACTACTACTACTACTACTGCTACTACTACTACTACTACTACTACTACTCCTCCTACTACTACTACTACTACTACTACTACTACTACCAGGGCTGACCTTACCCTGCTTGCCGAATGTGTTCCTTGGAAGGTTGGAAAGGTGGGTGGTGGGAATCCTCGGGGGGGGGAACCGCCGCGCACGAACAGCACACGAAAACCAAACGCGTACCATACGATTACCATGCGATTACTATGCGACTACCATGCGATAACCATGGGACTACCATATAACTACCATACGACTACCATACGGTTGCCATACGGCTACTGAACGATTACCATGCGATTCCATACGATGACAATACGACTACCATACGATTACCATACGGTTACCATTCGGTTACCATGCGTTTACCATACGACTACAATACGGCTGCCCTGCGACTACCATGCGATGACCATACGATTACCACACGGAAGACCATACGACAAAAACCATACGATTACCGTGCGACTACCATACGACTAGCATACGAAAATTCATACGGTTACCACGCGACTACCATAGGAAAACCGTACGATTACCATACGGCTACCATACGATTACCATACGGGTACCGTACGTTTACTGTACGACTACCATACGATTACCATACGATCACCGTACGAATACCATACGATTACCGTACGATTACTATGCAACTACCATGCAAAAGCCATACGAAAACCATACGGGAACCATACACCAGAAAACATACTACCACCATACGGTTACCATACCGACTATCACAGGCTTGCCATACGACGACCATACGATTACCCTGCGAAAACCATAGGATTATCATACGATTACTTTACGATTACCAAGTGAAAACCATACGATTACCATGCGACTACCACCCGATTGCCACGCAACAGAAAAACCATACGATTACCATACGGTTACCAGACGACCCTCATACGATTGCCATACGATTACCGTACGACTACCATACGGAAAAACAACAACAAACATACGACTACCATACGATTGCCATACGACTACCATGCATCTGCATACGACTACCAGGATACTACCAGGCGATTCCAATACTGTTACCTTACGATTACCGCATGATTACAATACGACTACCATACGACTACCAAAACACTTACCATACGATTGCCGTACGGTTACCACACGAAAACCAAACGATTACCATGCGATGTGCATACGATTACCCTGCGACTACCATCCGGTTACCATGCGATTACCATACGGAAACCATGCGAATAGCATACGAAAGCCTTACTACCATACGATTACCATACGATTACACTACGATTACCATACGACTACCATACGTTTCCCATGCGAAAGACATGCGGTTACAATACGGTTACCATCCGATTGCCCTACGATCACCCTACGTTTACAATACAATTACCATACGATTATCATACGATTATCATACGAGTACTTTACGATGACCACACGAAAACCATACGATTACCATGCGGGAGCCATACGATTACCATACGATTACCATGCGAAAACCATAAGATTACCCTACGAACGCAAAAATATTACCATACGAAAACCATACGAAAACCATACGACTACCATACGAATATCATGCGATTACCAAACGGTTACCCTACGAAGAACCATACGACTACCATGCGATTATCATACGACTACCATGCGACTATCAGACGGTTACCATACGACTACCATACGATTACCATGCGATTACCATACAATTACCGTACGACTACCATACGATTACCATAGAAGTACCATACGACTGTCATACGACTACCATACGATGGCCATACGAGTACCATACGATTACTATACGAACAACATACGACTACCATACGACTACCGCACGGCTACCACCCGATGACCATACGAGCATCATACGATTACCATCAGATTACCATACACTTACCATACGATTACCATACGATCCCAAAGGTTCCTTGGGGCAAATAGGAAAAGGTCAACCCTACTACTACGACGACGACTACTACTACTACTACTACTACTACTACTACGTCTACTTTTACTACTACTACTACTACTACTACTACTACGACTACTACTACTACTACTACTACTACTGCTGCTACTACTACTATTACGACTACGGCTACGACTACTACTACTACTACTACTACTACTACTACTACTACTACTACTACTACTACTCGGAAGGCTACTACTACCACTACTCGTATCACTACTGCTAATACGACTACAAATACTGATTCTAAATAGTTGTTCTTCTTCCACGGCCACTACGACTACTACTACTGTTACTGCTACTACTGGTACCACTACTACTACTACTACTACTAC